TCCCACCTCTGCCTGGTGGCGAGTGACCTTTCCTCGGGGCTGTGGTCCTTGGTGCTCTTATCTGTGTTTTTGTCACCTGGAGAGACACTGCAATGCAGCAAAGGGGGCTAAATGCCCCGGGAAATGAGGATCCAGTGCTGAAGGTGGGCATCCTGCTGAGTAAGGAGGGTATCTCCCTCTAAGTGTGTGACACTGATACTGAGGAACCGGTGCTTGGCTGCGGGTTGGCTTCCAGGCAGAGTTTATGGTGTTGGCTTTGTCGTTTGGGCCTAATTCAAACCTCTTTGGAATCAGTGGAGAGGCTCGCCATGTACTTCAATTGATTTTGGATCGGGCCCAGCAGGCTCTGAACAGCTTGTCTATGCGAGAGACACCCTCTCCTCTCGGGGGATGTTGCCTCATCGGTCGAGAGGAGCGGCATGGCGGCTAGAATATCACTTTTTGGGGAAGGAAAGCGAGCTGCTCTCAAGTGAGGGCTTGAGACTCTTGCAAGGGCTACTTCGGTCTAGGGCTCGTCCTGCAGGGACTTGAATCTGTTGGCTTTTGGGGCGTACCTTTGAGAAGTGGATCCTGTGAGGGCATAAATTAGTATATTAGAATAGGTGGAAGAGAAAAGGGGGTTTTCCTAGAGCTTCCACTAGGTCCGGCTGAACTCCCTTTCCTGTCAGAGCCTCCCCGGGGCTGCGGCAATCTGTTTTAATTAGAGCAGCCTCCGAGCATCTCTCGATTATGCTGAGGAATGGGCCTTCGCTGAGAATTTAGCTGACCCAAGCCGTGGGAGCGCAAAGGCCATCGTTGCTGGGGCCTCCCACGTTCCCTCATTTGCACCGTGCGAGCCTCCAGCCCCAGCCAGCCAGCTCTCCGCCGGCCGGGCTCTGGAATCCATTTATAAAAGAAGCTTGTGGTTGTGTCTGTTTTGTTGGTAAATGCATATTATACGCTGGCTGGAACTGCCGCTCGCAATCAGCCCTGCATCACTGAGTCAGCGCATCCCGAAGCCTGAGCCCATCTCTGCCCAGGGGAAGCAGGGATGGGTCCCCACCACACCCGGGAAGGTGGGGCCTCCGGGGACCGGCACAGGAGCCCACTCGTCCCCAGGCAGAGAGAAGGAGAAAGGAGGTGGAGCTGGAAGATGGAAAAGTGTGTGATATTAGAGCGGCTGCTGAGTTTTATTCTCCAACAAGCGTTAGCATGCTTCCCTCGCCCGATTGTTTTGGTGATTGTGGTAAAGTGCAGATGTTATGCAATGGTAGGACTGGTAACGCTGGCCACTGCCAACTGGGGTGCCAGGAATCATTTATAAGCTTCCCAGCAATGAGCTCTGTCAGCACATGCTTCCCCTCCTGTTACCATCACAGGTACTGCCGTTGAGCCAAGCCGTGTCGTGAACGAGGCGCCCCTTCCATCAGCAAGGACCATACTGGTCCTCTGGGAGAAGGGCTTCTTGTCCCCTTGAGACCCCAGCGCTGTGCCCACGCCGTCCTCTATTAACTCCTGCAGACTAGCTCTGCAGCTCAGCCAAGAGAAGCTGAAACTCCAGCATCTCCTCACCAAGAGGGACGTTTTGGTAAAATGGAAAGATTTCGAAATCTCGACAAGAAAGGCTGTGAGATTGCCCTGAGTGTTTGAAATAATGTATGTATGCATATATCTAGGTATACCTGTATAACTGCACGAGCCAAATGACTTGCTTTGGCTTGCTTATCATTCTAAGACATAAAACAGGTAATCTAGCTTTATTTGACACCTAGGATAATCATCCAAGAAAATGAGAGGCTCTGTAATGGAGGTCTGTAAACAGGTCTTGCAGGTCATTCGCACAACCTGGCTCTGCACGCCAGGGCTCTATGGAAACGTGGCTGTAAACACTGTGTTGGATCAAGGGCTTCTCTACTGACAGAGAAGACGAACACTGAAGCTGTACAAAACTGAGTAAGTCTCAGCAAATGATTCACTCTCTTAATTAATTTTCCATTTTGGTTGGTGGAATGCCCTTAGGTGGCTGCAGTGGGCTCGGATTTCTTCTTTCTGGGCAGAGTTCACCTTTGCACAAGGACTGGGAAACTCTCCTCTCCCACCCTCCGTGCACCGAGGAGCCCGGGCAGGATCCTTTAAGGGAATATTTTCCTCTACCCAAATCATTCTGAATCACACTCATTTCTTAAGGCACAGTCACATGTGGCTCAGAGGCTTGTTTAATTGCCAGCGCGGTGGTGTGCTGGGAAGGCTGTAGCCTGGCTTTGTGAAGCAGTGCCCCGTTCCCATCTCACAGAAAGTATCCCCGAGTGCATCACTGCAGTTTTCTGTCACAACAGCCCCCAGTAAAAGCAACCCAACGTGTGAGCACTCCTTCCTGCAGCATTCTCTGGGTTCATTTCCCAGTTGCCTTCGTGCTTGGACTCTCTGTTTGCTGGGTGAATCCATCACTCATAGGACGAGGTGAGCACAGTCAGGCTCACATTCCCTGGCCATGCAGGGTTTGTATGTCCATGGTCTGCCATCATGTACCAGTACAGCTGGAGCAAACCCATGCTGCTGCTTTTATGTCAAGTTCGTGTGATCGCTGAAGTTCAGTAGAAACACTTTTCTCTCATTCTTTTGAGGAATAACAAATTGGAGGCTCTGCTCCAGCCGTTTTCTTCCATGATTTACAACTACATCCTTAGGCACAGTTCTCCCACTGAAATCCTTTACTCTGATGGGGAGACAGGAGGAAAGGAGTGGAAAGAGTCCCCATGTCATGCCCCAGGCCATCCTAGGGAGGGGATAGGCAATCCTGTGCCTTATCTCTCCCAGCTCTCCCCCTTGATATGCTTGGAGAAGTGACTAAGCTGGGGAGAGGAGCTGGAGCAACACGAGGTAGGTGCGTAGGAGGTTGCCAGTGGGGTTGTTCCAGCTTACGCTGGGAGTCACCTTGACCCAGCGTTACAAGGGAAATGTAAAACTAAATTTCTTCTTTCCATTCCTGCCCCACAAACTGCACAACATAAAATGTATCACTTTCTTATTTTCAAATAGCATTTCTGTATGCATTATTAATGTAACTAAAACCCAAACCTTCAATTTATCACTCCCTGGACGCTCGCGCTTAGAAATGTGTGTTATATCATTGTCTGCTTAGAGATGGTGTTAAGTTCTAGCTGGAAAAGAAAAGTGTGGTGTTGGGAACTGTATATTTCCTAAAAGGAACACCAAAGTCTTTTTGGTTTTTTTTTTTTTTTTTTTTTTAGCACAGCAATGGTGTTAAGTTCTAGCTGGAAAAGAAAAGTGTGGTGTTGGGAACTGTATATTTCCTAAAAGGAACACCAAAGTCTTTTTGGTTTTGGTTTTTTTTTTTTTTAGCACAGCGGTGTGTAAGGGTGTCCCCTGATATGGGTGTAGGGGACAGCAGAGTAATGGGAGAGCATGGTCCATTTTATTCTATCCCACCAGGCAGGAGCTACAATTTGGCTGCTTCTGCCATCATGCCTTCATTAATGAACAATTTGACTATTTTCCACCTTCTGGTATTTCCCTGATAAACCAGTTTAAAACCCAAAATGGAGCCCAGTAATAAATCATGGTTATTTTGTTCTATCAGGCTTTCACCTGGCTAAGCCTTAAATGTCCACTGCCCTGAGGAAGACTTAGATTAGAGGTGCTCCATATGGTGCCGGAGAGGAAAGGTTTATGTAGCTGGGGGTTTTCATCAGAAGCTTCGGGTTTTCACTTCACTCCTGAGAAAAGTTGCCAGCAGAAGAATAGGTTCTCCTAGACAGATTGGCAGAAAAATCGACACCTCTAAAGCTGACACCGCTAAGGAGCCAAGTAGGGACTGGATTTTTGGCCCAGTGAGATTTTTTAAAGTCAGGATTCCCATTGAAGCCATGTGAAATCAAGGGACATATAGCCATTGATTTCAAAAGTCTTTGAGGTGTATCATGTATCCCATACAGTGAAAATCTCATAGGCTCTTCAAAACCTGCGTTAGGTGTGTTTGGGCAGCAGGTCTGTGTTAAGGAGAAGGACACATCCACTCCTTTTCCCTCTGAGGAGGAGAGAATGTGCAGAATATGTGCCTGTTAGCTTATCTACAATGTGATGTGGCCCCAGAACAGCCACTGCCCATTACAGGGAGCCGTGAGGGATGTGCCACCCATCTAGCTGTGGTCTCTTGTGAGGTCTCACCAACATTTTCCCTGAGCAAGTTGTGCTGCAGTGAAGTAATCAGGAGCCACCAACACTTTGGAGCCCTTCATGATCCGTGCAATGTAGGGGTGGAGGCTACAGCTTCTTGGGTCTCTGTCTCCCCTCCAGCAGATGGGAAAATAGCTCTTTTGTGGAAGGCTGTAGGATGGGAGCCGACCAGTGTTCGCACGCACACCTTGTGGAGGCCTGTGCCTTCAGGCGGGAATTAGACAAGATAGTTGAGTTGAAACGCGAAGAAATTGCTCCTGAAGCACTCTGTGGTGGAGTGTAAGGTTTCCTTTCTGACACCTAGGACCTGCTCTCAACTGTGCTTGGGAGAAGCCGTCTGTTTAATTCTGGGTACTGTCAGCAGAGCCAGGACTTCGACTCCTGTAATTAGCAGCTAACATCAGGACTTCGGCGAGCCAGGCAGCAAAGGGGTCCCTTCTCCAAACATCTGCCCCCAGCACCCCACTAGGAGGAGAAAAATATGAGCACGGGGAATTAAAGTGACAGCCCCCGCGATCTGGCATATGTCACTGCCTCCGAGGCTGATTTAACCGGGCAGCAGGTAGAAAAGACAAATATTCACTAGAGGAGCTGGAGAAAATGGAGGCAAGGCAGAATGAGATAAAACCTATTAGAGGGAGTGTTTTACAGTGCAATTCCTTGGGGAGGGGGGGGGGCTGGGAAGGCAGGAGAAAGCTCACCATAAATGGAAAAAGGCTCAAACTATAATTAATTTACCTTGTCTGAGCTTTCTACCACATTTCTACCATATTCCCATGCACGAGGAAAAAATGCGCTGAAACTCACGTTCTGTATTTTTTAAGTTCTCAACAGATGATTGTCTCAGGACAGATCAGCACGGCAGAAGATTTGCTTGGTCTCTGTAAGGGCTTGTGATGGTCTTGGGCTCCAGCTTCGGGTGAAATAATCAACCCAAACCGAGAGGGTGTTTGTTGGAAAGGCAGTATGAGAAAAGGTGCTGCTGCCATCTGAGCTGCCTGACTCCTGCAAATTAATGGCGTAAAGGAGAGGTTTTCTTGGAAATCTGAAGGTAAGAGGGTAAGCTCCACTGCTTGCACGTGGCCAAAAGGGCATCAGGAGTGGTGAAGGCAGCTCCCCTCCCAAGGCTGCTGGTCACTCACAGTCAATCTGGGATGTGACAATCAACCCAGGCTCTCTCTGGCTCACTCCTTGCCAAGAAGAGGCTGGGAAATCAGACTGTATTTAACTTTTCTAGCCCCAGCTGTGGTAGATTCCAGCTCAGTCACCCATGTGGGTTCTGCAGGTAGGTGTAAGCCCGTACCAAATGCAATTTGTGCCTCTCACAGTGGTGTCAGCAGCAGAAGAGGCACTGAAAGATTTGATCAGCCTGAAGCCAGAACTCACGTAATCACTTTTGCTGTGTAGAACTAAAGCAGATAAAAACGACAGGATTCCAGTGAAGGTCTGAACTGTCCCCAGGTTCAAGGCTGCTTGGATGAGGGACTGGAGTCTGCTTGGAAATTGAGGCTAAGTTTTGCACTTTCCTCTTTGTAGTGTTGTCTATATAGAAAAAAATAGAAATATGTGGAAAGAAGCAAAGTGTGTATATATATATACACTTCTGCAGCCTAATAGCTGGTTTGAGTACTGCATACTTTTATGTAGAACTCAATAAAATGCATTTGCAAACATAATTACAGATGCAGCAATGTTCTCTAATAATGGATTATATAAAGCATGTTATGAAATGCATTCATATCAAGTTCTTGGCAAATTATACTACCTACTGTAACCAGGTGTTATAAAACCAATTATGCCTATATAGGAATTAGCGACACAATGTATGTAGCCCTTAAATACAATACAGTTCCAGGAGGCTGTAAAGCATGCTGTAGAGGGTGGTGGAGTTATTTGGAACACGCTGGAGCCAGCAGAGCAGGAGGGGGAAGCCGTTTTTGGGGAAAGCATGGTGATAAATGGTGTTTCAATGCCTACGGGCTGACTCTTGGCTCAGGGCCTGCAGGTTGATCCAGCTGTCTTTACGTGCCACGGTATTTTGTCCTGTTTTGTAGTCCCATGAATTCCCATCCAAATATGTAGCACTGTGCTCGCCTAAATAATAAACGGAAAAATAATTAAGACCCTAGTCCTGAATTAATATCGAGCATTTATGACGTTGCTTCAATTTGCTGGATTCCCACATGAAGGCTTTATCCAAAGCCTTTTCAGTTGAGTGGAAATTTACTATTGAATTGGGCAATCTCTGGATAAAGTCTTGGTTTAATTTTGTCAGATTATTTCTTTAGGGCAGAGGGATGTTATTCTGAGTTATTAGGTTGTGTATTTTGCTGTGTCATGAGGAAAACAAATGGATTTCTTATTCTACTTCCTCATCACTAAAAACAACCTCTAGTAACAGATAAGCAGAACCAGTAGAGATAAAAAGGAAGCCCCTTCCCTTTACTCCCTGCAGTGAACCTTTACCCAAACTCTTTATTTTTGGTGTGGTTCCTGTTGTTGTTCATGTATTTCCTAGTTCTGCCTAGGACAGGGAGCATGGTCACAACCACATGAGTTCCCATCATCTTCTTTGCTCTTCAGAAAAATCGTCTCCAGCCCAGTTTTTGTGACAACGGATGTTTTTTAGTAGTTGGAGAAAGCAAATAGTGCATGGACCACGGCTACCACGTCGGTGAACTACAGTTTAAGTGGTCACAGTTAAGGTCGTAGTACCCTGAGCATGCAGCTGCAGAAATATATCCCTCAGTATATCAGGTGAAACCTTTCTGAGAAGGAAGTGCACCATATAGCATGCCCAAAGCCCAACTCTCTGGATCGAGGGACCTGCCTGCAATTGAGCAAGATGCCTTCTCGAGCTGTTTTCTCCTGCATTTTTTTTCTATGAAATCCAAGCAGATTATGCTGTATAACCACTCTTGTGCAGATGTGAGATTGGGATGCAGCTGGGACATATGCTTAAACGTGGAAACTTAGATTTATTTCCATAAAATCAGCTACACGGATAATTTGTGAGTACATCTTTCCTCCTAGGACCTCAAAGCACTTCACAAATATCACTGGAGGCTCAGAACGTTCTTGCACTTGGGTAAACTTGGTCTTAGAGAGGTTAAGTGATTTACTCGAGGTTTCCCAGTAAATCAGAGATAGAAGTAGGAAGTGAAACAGGATCATGACTGCAAATGACATCTTTTAACCTTCGGAGGTGCTACTGTGAGCAAATAAAGGCCTGACCCTGCCGCGTCTCTGCAATGAATGGAATGACTGGCGTGAGAAAAGGGCTGCAGCGTTGGCCTCTTTGGGCCTTTCTCTGTGAAGTGTTTAATATTTCCCAGGAGGGACTGCTTGGCTTCACCTCCAACCAAAGCCTCTTATAGCAACAACAACAGCAGCAAGAGAAATCTCAATTTCATTTTTTCCCTCTAGCACAAAAAAAAGCCAAGATGCGAGGTGAGAGCTCTCTCTGGGTAGCCACTGAGCCACCAGGACCTGAAGACACTTGGTGTTTCTTGGAAATGGGCTCTGACTTCTCTGCCTTTCTCCTTCACAGGGAAAGAAGAGATTTGGGGTCACGATACGGACCTTCGCCTTTCTCGGCTGGTAAAAACCATCGTCCATATTTCTTCTCAGCAAAAGTTTGGCTCTACACCAGCTTCAGCAATCACAAGGACTAATATCTAAGAAAGACTGCATTAAAAGTATAATGTAAAAATATGTCTCTAATAAAAGGAAACGAGAATTCCAAAATTCTTTCTTCTTTCTCTGCAGAAAAAAAAAGCTTTCTAGCTACAAGCCACTTTTTGCCTATTTAAGTCTCTGCGCTTCTTTAGCAGGCTTGAGATGAATGAAGAGGTAGGAGAGGAGAGAGTGACATAGGTAGTAAATTATACAAGTTGTATAAATGCAGGGCAATAGCAAGCAGATTTGAGTGCTACTGCGGAGGGCAGAGATTTCTACCGGTGAGGAAGAAAGGAGGGAACCTGCAGCATCTGAAGAGGAATGGGCTGAGGGAGCTCCAGCGCCTGCTCCAGCCCGTGGAGACAGGAGACACAGCCGGGGAGAGTGGAAGTGACTCCTCAAACCTGCAGAAGTGACACTTCCCTGAAGCTTGAACTTCTGCGAGAAAGGGAAAGAGAGATCATGAACTGCCAGCGAGGCGAGTTTATGAAGGGGAGAAGAAAAAAGGGAAGAAAAGAAAAAAAAGGAAGGGAAAAAAAAAAAAAAAAGCTCTCTTTAACTCTGGAGTTTTTAAAAGTGCCCTTGTTTGTTTTCTTGGCAGAGGAGCGGAGCGTTTGGCACCCATCCTTGGAAGGTGGCCCGGCTCTGAAAATGCTGGGGTTGGCCCTTTCCATGCTGTTGCTAAGCCGATGGCCCAATAGCCGGCGGGGCCCTCCAAACCCCACCCCACGCTCCGGCCGCATCCAGGCTCCAGCCCGCCTGTATTAAAAGCTCTCCCTTCTCCCACTTGCTAATAATAATAATTTAAAAAAAAAAAAAAAAAAAAAACCAAAAAAGGCACCTATGGAGCAATAACTGCTGTATCCTCATCCTCTGGGTTCCATCCTGCTCTCCCCATTTCCAGCTTGGTGCTGGTGTGTCTACACCACGCTCGCTGGAAATTCCCTAATTTCCACCCAAAAAAGACACAGCATGGGGACCAATACGTATTCCCAGCCGCCCTGCCCGTCTCCAGCCTGTTTGCTTATGCATCTGCCATCGCACTGGAAAATTAACATAAAGCATCCTACAGCAGAGACAGGTTTAATTTCGATGATTATACTATTATACAACACAATTTTAAGTGCTACAAGCTCCTGAGAGAACAACAACTAAAAAAGAAAAAAAAAATTTCCCTCCAAAATCGTATAATGGCTGAGAAATTCTGTAACAAACTGCAATCCGCCCATTCCTTGTCCCAGCAGCCATGAACAATGTCATCCCCTTCACTGAGACCCACAGAGATGGAGCCCAGCTCTTCTCTCCGCTCAGCGGCAAACGGTGGGGAGAGAACAAGACCATGATATTCTTCAATTGGTGCTCCCTGGGATGTAGGTATCAAAAAAAAAAAAAAAAAAAAGCCCAAGAAGTGCCGAGTTTATGCAAGCAAACCCAAGAGCTCGGCAGAGGAGCTGGGGAGAGCACCAGCCTGGAGCCCTGCGGGGCTGGATGGGATGGATGGGATGGGATGGGATGGGATGGATGGGGCTCTGTGCTGGGCTCCTGTCTGACTCGTTCTGCTCTCCCTCCTCTGCTCCCACAGCCTCAAGGTATAGGGCAGAAACAAAGAGGTTTTTTCTCCCC